CTATTTATGTTTACGCACTGCTTGTTTAGTTACGGTTTGAATTGGCGATTCGTCTTAGCGCCAACTGCCTATGATCGCATTTTTTATTATTCTTGCCTTAGCAGACGAAACAAACAAATTTTCCATAATTGTTTTTATATATGTACAAAAAAAAATTATTTTCTGCAGCCGCACGGCTATCGGCCACCTATGGGTTATTTTCAGTATTGCTCAGTGGCAATATTTGCTAGTTGTCAGTGGCCCTTTCTTCAACCTTGACCTGTCAAAGGGAGATTGTCAGAAGAGGGGGTGAAGCAATTTCCGCAAAGAAAAGTTTTCTTGCGTAGCCTCGGCATCCGGATACTTTCTTTTCGCTTGAAGATCGCATGGGAGCAGGTTGTGCCCAATATACTCTGGCTGGCAAATATATGGTCATACATATAGTATAACCTATAGTCCGTTTCAAATTCGGCTGGGCCAAAGCGTTAAGCCTGCTGCAACAAATTTGGAGAATTTGCAGTAATCTTTCACTTCAATTGTGTTAGCAAAAGGAATTCTGCCTGGTGCCACTTCCGGATATCGGGTAAATTTTACTTTTTCCGTTTATTCGCATATAAAATGCAAAAGCTAATGCTATTTCTTCATTGTACATTGTTTTCGTGCAGAATTGGCACTTAATAAAAAGTCCAATCCCCATAAAGGGCATTAACCTTTGCTTATCGCTTTGATGGGCACTTGCTAGAGCGACGACTAGGAAAAGGGAAGTGCACGGGAGAAGGAGGCGTGCTAGAAACGAGATCGGCGCTTCGCTCAGGCCACTGGAACGGCGAAAAGAATCACCGCCTCAGTTGCGTGGATCATATCCGATATGACGGTCGTCGGCTTAAGCTAGGGCACCTGTTTTTTTTGTTGCGTTTCCGTGCACCGAAAAGGTGGCGAAGCCCCAGGTGGCTTTAGTGAAGAGGGCCTGCGTAAAAAAAAAAAAAAAAATTATAAAAACTATATATATGTAAAACTATACACAAATGTGGGCCCTGCAAAAACAACAAAAAAAGTGCAACCGAGAGAACTAGGCATTTATTTTTTTTCTATTCTTTCGTCTTATATTCTTTTTTTTGGGTCGTATACGGCCTTATACTTAAATTGATCTATATCCGATGTGAGCAAAGCAGCACGGCCGGGTGTGTAGAGAGGGAAAAAAAAGAAATAAGTGAAAACCAAAGAGAAAAAAAAGAAAAGAGAAGGCAACAAAAAAAAAAAAGGCAAAACAACAAATAAAAACCCCTTTGACTATACGTTTCGAAATAAAATTTTATTAAGCATGGCGACAAGTGAAGGTATGAAAAGTGCATGTTTTTAAAACCAAAATTTCAACATAAAATTTTACAAACAAATTAAAAATCATAATTAATGTGCATGTAAGCAGCAACGAGCCTATGCAGAGCGCCTCAACGGAAAGATCTTTCGACGTTGGACGACAACTGTAAGTAGAACCGTTTGAATTTTATTTACTTTCATGCAGAAGAGCACGCGTACAAAAACAAAAAAAAAAAAATAAATAAAACACCTGTTCATATGCGTCATATGTCTGCCTGCTGGCCATGTAAAGTCTAATTTCCGCATTATTATTATTTTTTTTTAAATCACCGTAATAACGTTATACTTGATTGCGGTCATTACTTACTTAAATTTATGGCCAATCTTTACAAAAAAAAAAAAAGCGATGCAAGAATTTATAACACTTTAAATATCAACACTTTCTCTTACATCAAATTTTTTTCCTATTATATTACGATCCATTTCAATTATTAACCATCTCTTACAGCCAAGCCGTTGCTTTACTCACCTTGCTCAATTTATATTTACACTAGTATTTTAAGGCAGTCATATGTTTACCTATTCTGCTACTGGCTACGAATCCAGTGATAATTAGCTTTAGATTTCTATTATCGGTTAATGTACGGTCACTTTTTTTTGGAATTCCTTGAAAATTATGATTTTAGTTTTTAATAAAAAGTTTATAATGTTCGCTTAAATTCCGCCTAACATTGATTTCCGCTAGCCACAGCATGTAGAGGTTCAAAGGGGTCATTTGCCTAATTGTTTTTGGATATAAATGACCAAGGATGGGTGGGCCAATACTTCCTCAACACCATCAGGGGAATACCAGAGGTGTGTTCACTTGTGTTACGTGGTCTGCCAACCCGCGATCCTTTTGTTAGTCATATTCATGTATATCTTTACCGGTTTTTTTTTGGCTTCCCCACAGCACGCTTTAACTTTAAATAATAAGCTTAATGAAAGGCCGTATGATTGGAGAGACCTCGAACACCACCCACTAGCCGACGAGCCCGAGCCGGAACATATAGCGTGCGCTCTCCAACATACACACACCATCTCGCCTACTCTACTGGGATATGTCCTATACCCGTTACAATTATTACGAAAATTTTAATATTTTTTACTAAGTTAGTCAGGTACCTATTTTTCTGACCAACCGAAAACATTTGTATTTTACGAACTAATCAAAAGCGAAGCTATTTTCTATAGTTTGTAAATCCTTTTATTATTTGTTTTGACGCTGAAATATGTTAAAAATAAACTATTTTTTTGAGAAAACGCTTTTTTGAAAAAAAATATGCCCACGCCTATTATTTTGTCCAGGTAAAAAAAAACTGATAACATTTGCACATAATTATAAAGCCAATAAGTTTTGAAGGCCGTCCTGAAGCTATGAACGATTCAACGCAACCCTGTACGCTAGTTTCAGATACATTTTGAAACATAGGATGGTTTTAGTGCTGACCTTGAGCATTTTTCGTTCAAAAGCAATGAAAACAGAATTCTCAGTATTATTCATTTCTACGATCAAAGATGTATTTCTAAATCGAAATGCTGCAAGTTGAATTTGATATCGAAAGTGTCTCTACACCAATTGGAAACATTGCACAGTGATTTAAAATCAATATTTTTAGTTTCTAATTTTTAACCATTTAATTTGTTTGAATATATCACTCTAGATATTAAATGCGCTTGCAAATGAGAGCGGAAATGGCAGAACGAGTAACAAACAATGCTAAATGCAATAAATACATAAATAAAATACATTGGAATGCTTGCAATTCTTGTATAAAACTTTTCAACGGCCATGCATATTTGGCGTCTGCTTTATATGTATTTGTGTATAAATGTATGTATGTTTGTAAGTATGTGTGTATATTTATTCAGCATTTCCTGACGTCCTAGATTCTGACCGAAAATCCCCATTGCGTCAGTCTGGCAGGGCTGTACAATGAATGCAAAAGTAAAAAACTAGCGAAGCCACGGCAGTTTCTTAGATAACTTCTCGCACAAACGAACTACTGCAACAACAAGAATAACAATAACAACAAGCAGACAACTGAGGAGGCGAGGGTCAGGAAAATTAACGACAACAAGCAATAGAACTTGGCTAAAGCCGGCGGAAGTTATTGAGCAACATGGCGGACAAGACGCGGCGGCACAGACGGGAGACGAGAGACGAGAGACGAGGCGAGGTGAGATGAGATGAGAGTAAGCCCAAGGACCTAAAATAACAAAATCTGAAAGCGTAGAGTTGCCACCTGCCACCAATGGTGTGCTGGCAATTTTAGCTCGCGCTGTTTGCTTGGTGTTTGGTTCGATGAATTTATTACTTTTGATGTTCAAACACGAAAACTGCTGCAGGCCATAAAACAACGAGCCCCAAACTTTTGGAAGCACCTCCATCTGCCCCGCCTGCCAGTCAACCACATTCTAGAATCAAGCAGGCAGTGATTGCGACATCGACCCCGGCACACAAAATGCCATTAAAAGTTTACATGTCTCAATAGAGTGTTAAGAGATTAGTTTCCATAAAATATATACACAGTCGAACTCGTATGTGTATTACTTGTATTATTATTTGGCTGAAAAGTTGCGACATCGAAATCGGTGGCAGTGTATAAAACACTATTCTGTTGAGCTCACTAGTTGGAAATTTTCGATCGACCAAAGTATAAATATTTGCAGTTTAAGTTAGGGTCGCTTAGCCAAATAAAGTTATTCAGAATGTATGCGTTTGTTGATAGAATAAAGAAACTAACCTAAAATTTGTGTAGATTAATAGTATTCGGTGTTGGAATAATCTAAATAACGCAACCTTAATTCTCATTTGTAGTCTGTGAATGTGTTATCCGAATGTGGTCTTTAATGATATGCAAAACCAATTACAAACAATTCTATAGAATGGCAAGCCCTGTTAGTTAAATAAATTAAATGATTAATTAACTTGATAACTTGATAATGATAAATTTTTAAAACAAATGTATTCACGGAATGATTCGACTATATGGATTTGTGAATAACTCTAAAGAAAGTGCTTCTTACACAGATATATTTTTATTGCTGTTCACAAAACTATGTCAAAGCAGGTGGAAAAGCTAAAGCCAGGTGTCTAGACTTTGAAATACTCTGTGTAGAATAATTATAGACCTACAAAAATTAAGAAATTTATAAAAATAGTAAAGAAGATTTTATATTTATCTATCAATATAAATTGGTTGAAAAATTCCAAGAATTACGGGAGTTATGGGAAATTAATAATTGCGTGGGAAGGTTGGATGGAGGACATTTCTTAAATACACATTTTCTTCGTATTTATAAAATACATATTGGACTTAAATAGGGTGTCTCTACCTCTTATAGTCTGTGAGATCCAGGTGCTTATACGGGCAGACGGCCGGACGCCCAAACAGGCATGGCTATATCGACACGTCTTGTCATGTCTTCTTCTGTGTGTTACGTACATTCTCTGCTAATTAGTATAACCTTTAACGCTTTGGCTACAGGGTATAATAAATATGTTAACTGGCTAGCAAACAACACGGGAATTGATTTTAATTGACAGCGGTGCAACAATATCGAAGTTACATTGATATTGCATGTGAGATTGTTGATTTGCAAACAATTTTATATATAAATTGGCAAGCAGACCGTCATAACATTGTCAATAGACCTCTCTAAGCACCATGCAGAGCTCTTCATCGTCGTGCCTTCTGGGTTTGCTGTTAGTGGCCGTGTTGATCGCTGTTCAGGCCGACGGCGACAGGAGTTATAGCGTGGAACTGAATTCATTTGAGCCCAGCAAGGATTTTGAAAGCAATGGAAAATGGTTAGATTGGGGATCGTTACGGATGAAAAAAGTGGGTCGCAACCAGTACACGCTGGCCGGCGAAATGGATGTCAAACTGAATTTGGGTGATGAGCAGAGGGTGAGTTATCCTTCTGGTAGAAAGGACATTGAATAATTTACGAACTTGATGCACTACAGCTCGCCGTTCTAGTCTACACATACGACTCAGGCGCGAATCAGAAGGGTCCGTTGGTTATGAGTGTGAACAAGCCTTTCTGTCAGTTTGTTAGTGAGGATAAGGATACATATCCCTTTCTGCGGAAAGTATCGGATTTGCCCGATCCTACCGAGTGCCCGTTTCCCAAGGGTCATTATACAATCGACAACTATAAGTTGGAGACAACGTTCCTGCCCGATGACGCGCCTAAAGGTGACTACATGCTGGAGCTGAATTTGTACGATCAAGAGGTGCCTGTAGCCAGCATACTAGCACAGATAACATTGACCTAGAATTATTTTTGCATGCCTCTCTTGTGTGTGTGTATTTTTTTGGGTGGTTTATCAGCACTACAAGCGTTTCAAATTGTTCATAATAGTTAATATTCCGATACTTCATTCAATTATAGAAATCTTTTCGCTTTCAAAGACTTTCAAATGATGTGTATGTGAAATCCTGTTTGGGAGGATGAGGGTAAAGGCAGTAGTCATTGCTTGAGTGCGCTTGACATGCCAAATACAAAGTAGAAAAATATACACATATAGTACTCGTATAACAGATAAGATGAGGCACGCACATGCAAATTTCTGCATCAACACCTCGTCTAATTGAAATTTGCAATTACAATTGAAATGACATGCTGTGCCATTTGTCATTGACAAACGACGATGATAGCCGCCAACCCCCAAGCGCTACGTTCAAAAATTACAAGGTATGTAGTACTAGCTCTCTGTCTCCCAACATATGTGCAAATGCGCTTAAAAATTTCAATGGCAAGCACACACGCATAATATTCGAGCCCAATCCCAGTATTTCATATGCAGCTCCCAGCATGCAAAAGTGAGCAACGTAAGCAAAAAGAGATGATGAGGATGATGATGATGATGATAATGGTTATGATGATGATGGTTGATGCTTGTTGTTGGTGTTTTTGCTGAAAATGATTATCTCTGCATTACAATCCATTGATTCCACTTAAGTACCGTTACAATTGCACACACAGCGCACACGAATAGGCAGGACGAGGAATAGACGAACGGAATCATAAAGAGAGTGGGAAATCTACAGTGGTTCCACAAACAATAACTGATACAAAATGCTTACAAAAAAATATTCCATTTTTTTTGTTTTTTCTATTTTATTATTAAATCACAATAAAATGGGCTGTTGATACAAATTACAATGTTTATAGCTTAAAAGCTAAGAAAACCTGCAAAATAACAAAATAACTATGCATACATATAGCAAATAATATACAAGTATAATGCCTTTTAATACCTCCGACACGTCTGGGAAATTTTATTCGCCACATGGCTCCGATTCACAGCCAAATGTTATCAAAAATGTTGTAGACCTAAGACAAAATAGTGAGTTAAAAGGAAAAAAAAATGCTTATTTAAATAAATACAGAAATAAAGAAATCTCCAACCCGGTTGGGGAAATTGTATTGCCAGTCCGGCAAGCTGCTATATTTTATATATTACTATACGTATGTAAATTAGCTGCTCATACTCGTAGTAGCTACTCTACAGATTATGAAACAGCACAAGAGCATAATACAGTGGCATATGAGTGCAGAAGATAATGTTGATCATTGTAATTGTGAAGCTAAAATTAAATTAAAACGTACTCGTATGTCTGTCCGAGATCTTTAACATCATACACTTCATCTTTAAATCGTTGACTTGAAACTTGCCGGCAATCATCCTCGCTTGAAACCAGAAGTATGATCTGAATCATGAAATCATCATCTTTCAGCATCTCGGCAATCATCTCTCAACGCCTTTGCAATGGACTTCTTGGAAGACTTAGTGGCATCGGAATTGCATAAATTAATTTCAGAAAAATAAAATAGGGCGCACAGCGCTTCATTTTCTTAGCAGAAGTATTCAAGATGCGTCTGTGCAAATTGTATGCCTCGTTTGTTTTATTTTGGACCACTGTGCCGCAGGCTAACAAACAGTGGGATTGGGCGGACAGCCACATGCGACACTTAATTAACAAATATGCATTACAAACACCGATATCCCCCTGCCCCACACACGCACGCACACTCACACACACTTACCCACAAACACCCATGAGCGAGTGCCATGTTGTCATCATCAGCCCCTGCTGCATCATCATCGTCAACGCGTCTGTTGGCTGTTGTTGTTGCTGTTGCTGTTGTTGTTGTTGCTGCGGTTGTTGTCGTTGTCATCAACCACCGTTGCCGTGCCTTTTTGCTTAGCGTGGCGCAGTTGCATGTGTTTAATTGAAAAATCATATGCAGCTCGCATAATTATGTTTATTGCAATAATCTGATGCAAATTTTGCCAACTCTCCCAAAACTGACACAATCGGCCAAATAATGCCCTGCGTGCGACCGCTACGAGGCACCATGGTGACGATGCAACCGCCCGTTCGTGCCACCCACACCACTTGATGCTGTACTCGCATGCCCGCCGTATTGTGCTGTTGCTTCTGTTGTTGTTGGCTGGTGGTGCGCATTAAATTGCACTTTAAATTGCACATTTCAACGCCTACTGATTATGACAGATAATTATGTTATCGAGTGGCAGCGTCCCAGCCCCAGCTACTGCCTGAGCGGCGACGTGTAATTGCCAGGGGACGGTATAAGGTGGGTTGGCCTAGAAAGGGACGGATTATACAGGGAGATCAAAATGATTTTGTGTCAACTTAAGACTGTAACGAGCTAGTAGGATTACTTATGCAAGCTTATACTTAATCCCCGCATTCATCATCGCAGAGGCATGATCGAAGTTTTAAGTTTTTATAAAACTTAATAACTGTCCAACGAAGGGCAGATCGTAAATAAAGACGAACGAGATAAAAAAGCTTTTACTCACATATGTAGGTTTAAGTAGTATGGGTTGTTCTTTTTAAAATTCGTTCCCAAGTTCATTTGCTATTTTAAAATCCTAATTTCGAATTCTTAAAGTAGGGCTGTTTATTATTTTCATTGTGTTTCAATCAAATATATTTTGAATTGTCTTAATGATTGTTTCGTCTGAAATATCGTTTAAGTTGGCTTTATTGCATTTTTTTTAAATAAAAAAATCAATATATATAATTAGTTATAAAGTATGCAATCTAGTTTCTGGCTAGTTCGAAAGCTTAAAATAATATATAAGATAATTGAATAGCAAATTTACTCAACACTGGGCAGATCTTGATCCTGATCAAGCAATCATACAAGTTGTCTAACTACTTCAGTACATTTTAGGTGGAGATATGGCGATTACGAGAGAGCACATCAATATCTTTGTGGACAGACAGGCCAGGCAGCTGTGAAATCTCTGCAGGCATCCATCATCTGCTCAGAAATTCTGAAATTCCTGCTCTCGCATAGGCTTGCCTCACTGGAACACAGCAGGAAACTTAAGTATTATTTAATCATTTTCCAAACTGATCTCCAAAAGGCGGCAACACTAAGGACCCGGGGGTCGGCATAACCTAACTTAACTTTAAAAATAAAAAATCTCTGACAAGTTTGGAGAGTAAAAAGGAGTCGCTTTAAATTAGTTTTGAGTCACTGGATGGGAATAAAAAATGTGTAATACTATACAAGTATGTACATCGACATTGGCTTTAATACCTATGGCTATAAGGGACTCATTCTGTCAAGCCGAGACTACCATATAAAGATATTAACGACAAAGCCGCTTGGGAAAAGGCGCCCTTCTACCCTTCTACTCACACATGTACACAGAAGCACACTGATTGCATGTGTGTGTGTGTGCCTGTGTAAGTGCTGAGGTGTGCGACATCTTGTAGTACATATATTTTTAATCATCATTAACAATAATTCGAGAAATACTTTTAATTTCTTTGCGTGCACAAGACTCAAGACCACGACTCAAGCTGCTCGGATGTGTACATACGAGTACATATAGATGTATGTGATTACGACAGTATGTGTGTGCTGGTATGCTAGTGTGTGTGTGTGTGTGAATGTGCGTTGCTTATTCCCCGCGCTACTTTGCTGCCACTTCTGCCTCAATGACATTGCACTTACTGTCGTCGTCGACGTCATCGTCTTCGTTCGCTGTCGCGCCAAAAGATTTATGAAAAAATTGTATTTGCTTTTTGCCAGCCACCCAACCCGCCATTATGCTGGAGCAGCAACCAACCTCAGACACCATTGGGATTGTTTTTGCTGTCTCGGCTGTGGTTGTCGTTCCTTTCTATACCCTCTACTTGTATCCAAAAGATATTCTCATTTCGGCCGTTGTTTTGCCAACAAAATTACATTTAACATTGTTTTGATAAAAAAATACATATATGCTATATGTATATATGACTAATATATGCCATGGAAAAAGAATTCCAAACAGATTTGTAAACATTTAAATCCACAATCAAATCTATAGGAAATCTACTAAATATTATGGTGTTTCACTTTTAATGAAAAAGAAAAGCTAAATTTAGTTCATTTTCATTTTTTTAATATGTGCTCTACACATATGTACATACATATATACATGACATAATTAAATGTTGCTCTTCTGCCCGGCATTTCTTAAACGTATATCAAAACTCTTAATCAATAAATAATATTGCATTCAAATATTACATATACAAGTATAGTTGCACTAACATAAAAATCATAGAGTGTCACAAAGTCGAGTGTCCTTTTTCGAAGCGTTCCATCTTTAGAATCTTCTTTTTTTTCATTCGTACTTCTTGTATGTTGTTGCTGTTGTTGTATGCAATATTAATTATTATAGGCGACCCACCCACACAAATAAATCATAAATTAAAAGCCGAGACATAGCGACCAAGTAGCCGTGCGTTCAGCAAGGAGTGGGGTATTAACAAAAATTTTTATCATTAAACGCATTTGATAATTAAAAATTGTCATTTTTTTTTTTGTGCCGCCAAGAAAGTGAATTGTGGTGAAAAATATACATATATATTTGTTATATTTTTTTACTCTGTTCGCTGGAAAATATATTAAATTGCAAAGTGGGCGCAGCGGGCGAAGGGACGGGACTGTAAACAAAAGCGCTGGCATTTATCATTTTGTCCAACTGTTTGATAAGGGCAAGAAGCTACCAAAAGAAAAAAAGCACATAAATAATAAAGTAATTGGTAAAAAAGGCACATAGATAAAAATTAAACAAAATTTCCGAAAATAACATAAGAAATATCGTAAGAATCCATATTTTTCATGGCATTCTGAAAATAATTGGTTGAATATTATTCAGAGGTGGCGTCATTAATATCTATTTATAGGAAGTTTCATTCGATTTTCAGTGCATTTTCCTCATATATATAACAATAAGTAAGTAAGCAGCAGAATCGAGAAGTCTTCAAAAACTAAATGAATTAAGATTTTGGTAGTATATAGAGTATGGTATGTATGAAAAGCTTTATAATTAATCAGCAAATAGTTGTTTCGTTATCATCATACTTGTGTGTCATATTCAGTTAAT